CAATTATCTTAACCGTCGTTTGTTTTCCGTGTTATCACGCATCATGCTTATCTACTCATTTAGGTTTTCATTGTCAAAGCACAAGTTCAAAAACATCATTCGTCCCATTTATTCTCTTCGAAAGAACAGAGATAGAAATGTTTTCATATGGGTGTTTAAACACTGGAAGTTAACCATGAAGTTTAACCAACATGTTTACGTTACAACTGCCTAATATGTTATGCCCTTGGCTCTGTTTGCTGGTTTATAAAAATATGGCTTAAGTTGTAAGAAAAACATACGTTTGTGCGTAACAATGTTTGTGACAAAGACTAAGCGTGATATAAGGCTACAAAGAATACTGTTGAAGCGAAATGCGGTTACCCAAAAACAATTCTAACAATGGTAGTGCCCGCTTTAACATCTTAGCACCAATGGGCCTTTACGCCCGGTGTAGTACCATGACCACACAGAAGACATGCGTGAAATGGAAGCAATTCCGTGTTTCGTCTGATGAGTGTGGTGGCGGAGGCCTAATTTAAGTCCCTTTCTCTTTACCACTCTTTTCTTATGAGAGGTTGAGAAGAGGAAGTAGATTTGTCGGTGGAGGAGAAGCATAGGAAGGCTAAATATCCTCTTTATGTGCGTCTCCTCCTCCGTCGTATAAGGGTAGGCAACGCATCTGCAATTGCGGATGTCTATGGGCAGCGGTCGCTTCGCCATTTTGACGATTTCAGGTGGCCGCTTGCTCGTTTGCCACCTTATGTTATTAAAAAAAAATATTTTGCCATCCGGTTTACCGAGTCTCTAGGTGCGATCTTTGCAATTTTTAACAAACTAAATGAGAATGAAAGAAATAGTCAAAATGTTTTTATTTATCATGCTATAAAGCCTTGTAATAACAGGTTATTCTGACCTACATTTAAACATGTTTAAAAACTATATGGTTATGTTAATTTAAAAAACAATTCTAGATTGTTCTATAATGTACTAGCTTACGCCCGCGACTCTATTCGCGTGAGATTAACAAAACTGAGTAGCCTATATGTTTTTCCAGACTATCATTTACATCTATGCCAAATTACATCGAAATCTGTTCAGCCGTTTAGGCTACAAACTCTAACAAACATCCATCTAAACTTTCGCATTTATAATATTAGTAAGAGTAAGAAGTAAGATTAGTAAGAAGTAACAGAAATTAAGGTTAAGTAAGTTTTCCAAGTTACTAGGTTACAAATTAAGTAATAATGTAATCTCATATTTAATTGAATATCCTTTTTAATTTATGAGTTATAAAACTTTGTCGTATATGATGTCCATTATAGGACAATACTGTTCAGTAATGAAATCGCATACTATAATTGGTATCGAAGCTTCGCTCGAGGAAAATTGAGTTATCTTTGTTAAGGGTATTGTTATTATACGCGACTATTATTACAGTTTTTTACAAAACTAAAATTTCATTTATTTCTTCTTACTAATATTATAAACGCGAAAGTTAGATGGATGGATGTTTGTCACTATGTATCTCTTCACTCCAATCCAAAATCTCAGTGAACTTTGACACAGATGTAGGACATAGTCTGGAAGAAAACTGGCGAAGTATTTTTTCTTTTTTTATTTTTTTATTTCTCTCGGACGTTACCGCATGCGTGCTAGTAATAATATAATTGCATTTGATTGACCGTGACTAAAATCTTATCAGGCACTCAACAGAGTAAGCGCATAAACATTGTATGTTGAAAAATTATTGCATTGTTATCAATCTGTAACGTGAATTAGGACATTGTACACACGATATTGAGTACCAAAACTCCACAACAATGTTGCCACAATAAAACAGAAAGCTAGTCATGTGGATGGCTACAAAGGTAGAGGGAAACCGAAGAAAGTATGGATGGATTGAGTGAAAGAGGATATGCTTAAGAAAGGAGTGGATCCAGATACGACGACTGATGGAGATGTATGGGAGAGCAGCACATACTGTACCAACCCTCCGTAAGGTATAAGGGCAAGTTGATGATGAGTCATCACTTGCTTCAGTAAATCAAAAATGTGTTAAGTTTTTTATATGCTTTTTGGCGAATTTCTCGACTCTGAATATTGGTGACTAATTGATTTCAATTCAAATTGAAGCCGTTCAAAAGAATAGAGCTTGCCCCGACAGAAATGTAGGCGTTGTACCTTGATTGTTCCATTCAAAAAGTTCGCTTTAAAAAGAATTGTCGACGATTAATTAAAATACCTTTTAAGCGACCAACTTATGAATTGTGAATCAAAATAAGAGCTTGCGCCCTTGCAACTAAAATATCGCACAACTGTTTAGTCTCGCTGCGATTCCTATAAGCTTATATGGAGGTGCCACACTATTCGATTTTTTTTTATAACATAAGGTGGCAAACGAGCAAGCGGCCACCTGAATCCGCCAAAATGGCGAAGTGACCGCTGCCCATAGACATCCGCAATTGCAGATGCATTGCCTACCCTTATACGACGGAGGAGGAGACGCATATAAAGAGGATGTTTCCCCTTCCTATGCATCTCCACCACCGTCAAATCCACTTCCCCTTCCCATCCTCTCCTTATAAGAACAGGATGGTAAAGAGAAAGGGACTTAAATTAGGCCTCCTGCACCACACTCATCAGACGAAATACGGAATTGCTTCCATTTCACGCCTGTCTTCTGTGTGGTCGTGGTATTACACCGCGCGTGCCGGCCCTGCAGTGCTAAGATGTTAAAGCGGGCACTGCCACGGATTTTAATTTGTGCAACTAAACAGTTGAATTGACTGCGAAACAATCAACAATCACACAAAAGTTCCGCAATAGTTAAGTCATAGCGTACACTCTAGGGCTAAATATACTATTTTAAAACATTTTATTGAGCCCGCAATAAACTTAACTACTGAAAATAAAGCGAACACCCGCTTTTAATCCGTTTACACAGATTATATACAGAAATATTTTTTCAGGTCTGTGCGGAAACCTTTATGTTTTATGTAAATAATTAGGTCAGCGAAAACCTACGCGTTTCAGGCATAACACGATAAGGGCTTTAAATTGTTAAAAATGCTACCCTTTATGGTTTTGTTGTATGTAGAAACTCTTGTTTTAGTAAAAACAATATTTACGTTTATTTTTAAACTTCACACATTATAAATATTGTTGTCCAAGAGATTGACCAGCTAAAAAGCGAACATTAAAATGTTACTCCTGCTATCTTTATAACTGCTGGGCCAATTATAATAGGACTTTGATGGGATGGTAGCTGATATACGCGATAACATATTGGACTGTTTCTAATTGCATTCTAATTTCGCATTGAAAAAGTCACAGGTGACCGCTAGTTAATCCCGTAGACTAAAGCAAATGTATTATAAGAATTTAAAATAAAAACAGCGCAGTTAATAAATTCCTCGCTTGGGAATTGCGAGCTCGGGAGATACGACTACCTGGACGTTTGTACAAATGTAATTTACATTGCATTGGATAGCGTCGGCGTTGTTGAAATGGCCAACTATATTGTTCTAAATGAAAGCTGAAATTGTGTATAAAAGGGTAAAACTGAACAATGTTGCTAGCACTATCAACGCAATTTTTTAATCGTATAAAACATAAAATATGGTAATTAAATGTAGAAATAAATTTGTATAAGACTGCCACAAAACCAGTTAAGATCTTGGCTTATAGTTACTTGCGATAAAACATGAGCTTATAAAACATATAGACGAATTAAGTACCTCCATCTTTTGGGAAGTCGGTCAAAAATTAAAATGGTCTCATTAAGCCGTGTTCCATGCTTCTCTCACTCTAGTGGGAGGAGAAACTGAACAAGTTTTAATTTGAAAATTGCCTTAAGAATGAGACAATATCTTACTTAAATCCTATTCTATTTCTTGAATTTTCTTCGTTATTTTGTTTTAAAGTCGTTTGGATGTGATAATTTTAACTGCGTATGTACCATGCTGTATGTAATTCGATATAGCACTCGGTTTTCTTGATTTCGCCATGAAGTAGTAATGTAAACAACAAAAAAGTTTTTTTTTATTGTAGCTCAGTTATAATTGTATTGAATACTTGCAATAATATAATAAAGCGACAACCTTGGACCGGCAAAAAATAATTACGTGAGTCTCCATTGCATGTATAAGAACATAATGTTATCTCTTTCCTTTCAATGAGAATGAGAGAGATGAAGGTCTGTTTTTGTACATATGTTTTGTCAATGAAAACCCGCACTGTCATTTACAATGTCAGATCTACTATTCGGAGTAGATAAGTGGTCAATCTATTGTTGCATTCAGTGTTATTTTTCTAACAATAAACTCAAATACCGTGAAATATAACTCCATTACGAAGCCTAATCAATTACAATTAAATCTTTTAGGAGGTTAGCTTTTTTGTCTTTAAAATGATGTAATTCTTCGTCGACTCCATTCTTACTACATTATTTTGTTTAGAAAAATTTATGATTTTTTTTATTTCATTTTATAAGGTTGCAAACGAGCGAGCTGTCACTTGAAACCGCCGAAATGGCGTTACGACCGCTGGCCATAGACATCCGCAATTGCAGATGCGTTGCCTACCCTTAATCGACTGTGGAAGGAGACACACATAAAGAGGATGTTTGCTCATCCTATGCGTCTCCTCTACTGTCAAATCTGCTTTTCCTTCCCATCCGTTCCGCTTAAGAAAAAGGTGGAAAGGAAAAGGGACCAAAATTAGGCCTGTTTGTCATTTGTTTTAGGTCATGTAATCGTATAGAAATCGTCATCGCGCGTACTGCTTCATACATCTCTACCAGCCGTCTGATCTGAATTTACTCCTTCATATCCACTTTCATGCAATATCCATGCTACCTTCGGTCTTTCTCTGCCTTTGTACCCATCCACATTCATTAGTAGTTTCTTGTTTATGTGATCATCTATCCGTATCTGATATGCAAACAGTCTATTTAAATAGATTTTCAATTCAACAAAATTTGGAATACAATGGATTCTGATATTGTATATTTTTTTCAGGGTCTCCGCATCACGACTATCATCGGTTCGTTCGGGACTTGTTTCGGAGCATGGCTGAAGGTGTTCTCAGTGCCACAAGACATGTTCTGGCTCGGCTTCACAGGCCAAACTGTGGTAGCTGTATCGCAAGTCTTCATTCTGAATGTACCACCACGACTGGCTGCGGTGTGGTTTGGAGCAGACCAAGTGTCTTCTGCCTGCAGTATCGGTGTGTTTGGTAATCAGGTATGACAATTTACTTGGTAGCTTGTAGACAATTGGGCGAGTTCTCAACTTAGATTTGTAGTCTCGTTTTAAAATATTTAAATTCTAAATTACATGAGTGAAAATTGTAAGAGCTTTGAACAATCCGTTTTTGGGCAAAATTCTAAAAAAAAATTATACAAAATATGAAAATATTACTACAACAATTTTTAAAGCTGCATCTCTCCAGGGCTGAAGAACGAAGATAAGGAACAACTAGCTAATAACGACCCTCAGTCACAAACATAAAGTCTTAAGTCCCTTGATGAGTTTGTAAGACGAGTATTTTCCGCAAAATAAGCTTTTCTTGCGGCAATTAACGGACACAATTTGTTTGAACTTAATATGATACGTGCTTATATGTTGTTTGTTTTTGACTCCAAGCAAGAAATGTGTACATTGGTGACTTGCAGAGTGACTTCTTTGTGAAATTAATGCGTTATTTAAATTAACCTTGTTAAGGTTTACATAAACAGAATTATGATTTCCAATCTAATTGTGGCATCAAATTTCGTTTTTTTTTTATCAACTTCTACAGACTCTTGGTCCGTACTCTTTTTTGTACAGTTTGTTTACCTTTTCTTTTTCTTTTTTTATTTTTTTTTGTTGCATATACCGTATATTACTAGTGAGATCCTTTATTTTATCAAATTTCGTTAGCGTTGTAAAGTATCGAGCAATCAAAAGTTTCTATTTGATTGTAATAAATAAAGTCGGAGGTCCAAGATTGTTATCATGTTACTTTTTACTAATATTATAAATGTGAAAGTTTAGATGGATGGATGTTTGTTAGAGTTAGCCTAAAGCTGAACGGATCTCAAAAAATTTGGCACAGATGTAGAGGATAGCCTGGAAGAACTTATAGACTACTCACTTTTTTTGACCGACTTCCCAAAAGAAGGAGGTATTCAATTCGACGGTATATTTTTTTTTTTTTTTTTTTTTTTTTTT